TACTTATTGGCTCCACTGACCAAAGATATACTGTCAACTGGGCAACAGTTGATGCCATTTTTTAACTTGAAGTTTGAACATATTAGGACTGAAATGAAGATTGTATTATTTTCATCCATTCACGTTTCATTCTGGCCAATACTGAGAACCTCTTACACACTTGTCTGGCCTCCCTAAATAGCAATAAATCAGACGTAGTTATGAAATGTTTTAGACTGGAGTGGAAATATGACTGTTTCTTAGAAATCACCACGTGTTGCCTTTAAACTTTAATTTTTAGCTTTAACATTAGAGCACGGTCATGTCATGTATGTATATACTGTAATGGAAGTAGTATTAAAATCATTTAAATCATTCCTCCAAATCATCTATGGAAAACCTGCTTACAATCCCCATACGTTTAGGACTATTAATGGGCTATTAACTATTGCTTACTCACCTCTTCAAATCGCTTCCTAGTTGAGCTGAGAAAAACACAAGCTCCAATCTTTTCAATCCAGTCTGAAGTTATTCTTATTCATTAGTTCTTCATCAAGTTAAATTTAAATCACTCAATAAATAGTTCATGAAATGTTATTCTTATATCATTTGAAACTTTATTTGTACTTTTAATTAACTTCAGCACTTCTTATTACATTCTTTTTACTCAAACTTTTCTTTTTGCATCCAATGAATTCTTTCTGTACAGTCTGGCTCTGACGTTGCTGTGTCACGTTTCACAGGTAGCTGAGCTGCAACTGAAAAACGTGTTTATGGAGCCGGGATGACATCAGATACCCTGACTAATCAATAGGTTTTCTCTCTGCCCGCTTGCCCTTCAGGTGTCCGTGAATTCAGAGGGAAGGAGGCGGAGTTCATGTGGTGTAATAAAAGTAAGCTTGGAGGAAAATGTGACAGATGTGGAGGGCCTGTGCCAGCGAGAAAAGCGAGAGTGGGACTGTCAGACATGTCGACTCCGGCGTAGTGATGGATGGAGAGTGAGGTAAGACAGATGACATCGTCTGTCTGAGGCCGTGTTGTCATAGTGGAGGATTGCCGCTTGTCTTAACCTCTCAATATCAGAGAGCAAACTGAAGTTTGTTTACACTGCTCCAGTGGAGTGATTTAGAATGAGGGGCGAGGGAGACGTGGGTGTAGAAGGTATGCTCGCTGGAGGGTCGGATCAGGTTTCTAAACATTCCCTTTGAAATCGAATAGCAACCGTCCCAGGCGTTTTAAACTCAGCCAGCTCCGCTTGGTTCCAATCCTCAAGGTAGAGAGGAGTCCAAACACAAACACAAACAGAGAAAATGAAATATCAGTAGCAGTTGAGGCCTTTAAATGCCCGTATTAGGCAACAAGCAGCCAGGATTCTGGCCAATTATGAAGCAGAAAATAAAAAAAGTGGCTACATTCTTGACTCTAGTTTGGTATGGAGCCATCATAAAGCAATAAAAAAAACAAAATATCTGTTGTGAGAAGCACTAATGTACACTCACATATTAGTGTCTGCCAAAGGTAAGTCAAATCTTTTCTGCGAATGAAAATGTGAGTAAAATAAGTTCCCCTACGCCCCCGATCATGGTTTTGTTTGCATCCTTTTGTATGAGTTGCTTACTTTCAACAATGCATCATGGAAAAAGCTTATTTCTGGCTTTCAAACAAAGGCCAGAGTTAAGCAAAGGGCTGATTGATTTACGGCATCTTGTGTTGCTAAAACAATATGATGTCCTGGGGAAGAAGAAAAAAACAACCAAAACATCCCCGGAGATGAACTTGCTGAATGCTCTTCAAAACAACATGGTCCAGGGTGTGTGTTATTGCGATGGAAGATGGATTGGAGTCTGGCTTATTTTGCCAGGAGTCAGGTGTGGGGCTGGAGGAGGAGGAGGAGGAGGAGGAGGGGGTGTCGGGGATCGGCACTGGGGGTGAGGTGTGGGGGTTTAGGCTCATTTCCAACCCCAGCCTGAAGTCAGCGCTGGGCTGGGTTGTTGGGTATATGTATGTGTGTGTGTGTGTGTGTGTTGGGCTGGGGGGGTAGAGGGGTTGGGATTACACTGTCACACTGTTCATACTGTTTATGCATACCAGGCCACTGTGAGTGCCTCTTTGTCGCGTAAGTGTTTACTTGAATTTATTTTGGGAGAATTCCACATGACTGGGACGGGGATCTCTATAAATTATGGAATCGAGCGCTTTGTGTAATGATAACTTCTGTCAGTTAGTCAGGCTGTGTGACAGTGTTTTTAAGAGTGTGTAAATACAGGGGTGGTGAGAGAGGGAGAGGGGTGTCTGCGTGTTGAAAGGTGCTGCAGACTTTCTCGTTCATTTAGTCTCCTCAGCAGAACAATAACAATGCTTTAGAATGAGCTGCTTACAACACGCACCCGTACTGGTAGCACTTCCATTTACTCTAGTATTGTTCTTCATTTTGAGGTATTTGCACTTTGGTTGAGTATTTCCATTCTACACTACTTTACACTTTGACTCCACTACACTGGAAAATATTGTACTTGTAATTCCACTACACTCATTTAACAAATAGTTACTTCTTATCTTTCTGATTTATTTTTTTGGAAACTCCCTGAGTGCCGGGTGTCATCTACAATTAGCTTTTTTTGTCTGTGCAGTGAAAGAAACCAACGATATAGTATATAATGCTATGAGCTTGGTGAAGCAGGTGAAGTGTTTGGTTAACGGTTCCTAGCTTGTTAAATTGCTGATTATTTTTATGACATTTGACTGAACCAGAGGATTTCAAATTTGGAGATGTACCTCCTCAGGGGGGGCTCCAAACTATTTCTTAAAAAAACACATCAGTTATTATATTAATTATCAAAAGGAGATCACAAAGAATGACCTAAATGTGGTTTGGTTAAATAGATTATTAGATTTAGGGCAGTGGTTCCCAGCCTTTTTGCTTAATCATTAATCAAACTGACGGCCCCTGACTAAGTGATATATATTTTATGGATATTTCATATTATATTCAAAACTGTTCATTTAATCCAAACTGAACTGCAAGAAGTTTGTGTAGAACGAGTGATTTGGATGTATTTTAAGCAGAATATTTCCTGTTTAGGGAACTTTTTATACAATTTTCTGTCTGTATTATGTATTTTTTATAACAATCATATGGATTCAATAGGCTTCTTTTTTTATTTTTAACAAATTCCGTGTTTTCTTGTCCCTGATGCTTTTTCTTGCCAGACTATCTTGTTAGACTATTTACTTTACATTTATGTTACACAGAAGTGAACCAAATGCTGAGATATCTGCCTACTGTGTATATTTTGAAAGTTTTCTTACACCCCTTAAAATCAAGAAGGCCTCACGGCACCCCATGAAGCTTTGGCGACCCCTAGTGGGGGTCCCGACCCCCCAGGTTGGGAACCACTGGTTTAGAGATACAGTAACGTTCCCAGAGTCAGAAACTAATAAATGCCTTAGGACAGAACTTTTAAATGTATTTGGTGTAGTCTGTTTATGTTAAAAGAATAATAGGTTTTTTAGGAATTGTATGGGATCAAATAACATCTATTTAAGCAAGTAAACTAACAGGGGTGGGGGGAACCTTTTTCCAGAGAAGGCCCGGTGTCAGACTTTGAAAAACCTTGGACTGAACTAATTAATCAGCGAGTAGTTTCAGTATAGTGAATACAACACTATTGTTATCTGTTATGGTTACAGGTCACACATACTAAACACAGTGTGACAATAGCTGCTAATGATTAATACAGTGAAATGGCCAGTGCTGGTGGCTGTCTGCAGAAACCGGTGAAAGTGTCAGACAGGCAGCCTGTATTCTCCTCTCTGCTGTTACTGAGAGATTATTTGATTTGAACGACTAAGTGCCAAATCAAAACCTGAGTTATTCCGCGGTTGCCTCCAGTCCAGGACTCCACTGTTCTGGACTCCAGGTTTGTGGGCTGGAGACACGATGTATTGCACAGCCAAGCCATACACATACCCAGTGCCTATACAGACCCCGAGGCAAATCTAATGGAATGAGCAGCTGTAACTGAATCGCCGGCCATACAGTAAACGTGTTGGCATGTACAGTGTTATCGAGATCATCAGATGAGGATGCAGTGGACACTGAGGACATCTGCATTGCTCTTGGCAAGCACTTGGAATTATAAACTGTGGTTGTAGATAACTCAAAAGATAAAAAAAACCCTATACACTTTATATCATCATGTCTTTCACTAGAGGAAATACTAGTGTATGCTGTTGTACTATTATTATAGCAAGAAAATAGTTTGTGTGCTGCATATAAAACAGAATAAGTTTAAGGATGGCACTCAAGTGTGTGAGCTAACAGATTATATAATTACGGTTAATTAGGGAACTGGAGCACTCCTGGGTGTCTTTACCTTCAAATACAACAGCACCACCTAGTGGTGGTTGCAGTACATGTGTCTGGGCCGTGGTGGAGATCAGAGAAAGTCTTACTTAATAGATGTGACTAACTTAGAAGGGGTGCTAATGAGGACTACATCTACAGTGCTTCAGAGAGAATGAAAGTCAGATCCAGATCTGACATTTAGCTGACATCAGCTTATTGCTAACATGCTGAAAGCAGACCTACAACCACATTACTTTCATAATCCCACTTTTTTTTTTTTTTTTACACAATACCTTGAAACACACATAGTTATCCATCCAGACCATATTCCACCTTATTTTATATATTTCTATTTTATTGCATTTTATTCTTTCTCTACTCTTGCACTACATTCCCTGTGCTGCTGTGCCAAATTTGAATTTCCCCTACGGCTGATCAATAAAGGAACATCTTTATTTATTTGACTGAAAATAGTGAAAGTGTGGTGTCTTCAGATTGCTTGTTTTGTCCGACAAACAGTCCAAAACCAGAACATATTCAACTGACCGTGATATAAAACAGAAACAAGCAGAAGGTGCTCAGATTTAAGGAGATGAAACCAGCAAATGTTCTGCATTTTAACCCGATAAATTACTTTTAATTCTTTTAAAAAGAAAAAAAACAAAGTCAGACATAAGGTTGTACCATTTATTAGTCAATTTGACGAGTGGCACAATACAAGGATTGCTGACACTGTCCTACCCTGAAAGGCTCTTGATTTGAAATAAATAGATTATAAAGAGAACAATGTTCCAATGAGATGGTTAGTAGATCTAAATAAAAAAACAACTGGAAACATATTTATACCAAGTTTGTTCTTTTCATCAAATAAGAAATCAGATACATTAGAAAGAATGTTCCATATAAAACACCTTGCATTACCCCATAGCCTATCACATGGTGGTGATAAATGACATTCTGATTGTGCCTAGACTAATCTTTACCTACCGCCTGATGCACTTTGTTTTTCAGCTGGTCCTGAATGGAAACTACTTCTCTAACTTTAACCTAAACCACTCTTATTGTTTCACTAAGGCATCAAAATATTCCATGCATTTGTGAAAAGTCTTCCAGCAGCGGTTTCCTTTCCCGCTTCAAAACAATAAAACTGGTCCAGTCTCCATGCTATGCTCTAGGGGTACTCCTTTATTGAACAACCTGAAATTCTAGCCATCTTTGGGGTAATGCCTTTGTGTTAAGTCTTTGAGAGAAAGAAAGGCACAGTCTGCAGAGCAGGATTAGACAGAAGAGTTCAGTCGAAGTGCTTGGTTGCTAAACTCCTCTCGAGGGAGCAGAAAGTAGCGCACATTGTTGTGGTTTCTTTTCCGTTACATCAGATAAAACCCTTTTTTCTTTTTTCTCTGGGAGGCCGGGCCTGCAGCTCCTGAACCCATGCAGGCGGGTGAAATGTGACGTCTGCAGCTGCAAGTAAAAAAAAAAAAAACCAAATCTGGTATTTCAGTTTGAAACGCCAGTAGCAACAGACAGAATGACATCTGGTGCTTTGTGGTCAGCGACAAACAATGCTGAGCTGCTTACTGTCGAGCACCGTCCACACCCGTCCTTTCCCAAAGTGGTCTCAAAGCCTTCAGCGAACTCAAAAGGCTCATGGGAAGCTCCGACTGTCTGCATCGTCAAGTGCGACTGCCCATGGTCATCCTGCCATTTCAACACAAGCACTTATTCTCTGGTCTTTGTCCATATTAATTACGAGTCTGAGAAGATTAAAGTTGCTGGTGAATACCTTGTTGAAGGGCAGAACTGATGCGCAGGCAGAAGAGCAAACCTCTGCCAGGACAAGAGCCTTATCTGCACGTAGCGGAGGGACCGAGATACTGTATCTGACTCCCCACATGCTTCAGCCCGTTTGGGAAACTGTGCCGATAAACTGGCTGCACTGTGGAATGAAACTCCTTACAGAGGCGATAACGGCACGCACAGTTCAACACAGTGTGAAAGTCAGAGGCTGTCCTGATGGGAGTTTTTCCTGACCCAGAAATGAAGCTGGTCTTTCCGTTCGATCAGGGCGCTGGTACCAACACAACCCCGCACGAGAGTCCAATACAATTAGCTATATAAAAAAAACCATATATGGACACACACAATGATGGTATACCCTGGAGGGAAAGGCTTTTCCTATCCCATGAGAAATGAATATACATATGCAGCAAACGTTGAGAAAAAAAAAGAGGTAGCTAATTTATGAAACATTAAAAAATAAACAATACTACACTAAGAATTAAAAACTGCTTTACATCAGCTATTGATTGGTATGGATTCACGACACTGACAAACTAAATGTCTGCTACCCATAAAAGAAGCTACCGCTATCCATGCCTACCCTTTCATCATTTCTTCACTTAGACATTCCTCTCATCTGTTGTCATACGTCATACAACAGATAATCTCAACAGAGACACACAAGAGAGCAACATGACTGGCTGTATGAGCGCCAGTATTGCGCATAGGTTCAGCGACCTACACAGGGCGTTGGTGTTTTATCTTGATACTTCAAACATGAATAAGTTATTTTTCAAATTTTTGGGCTCACTGAAACCACAAAGATCCGGCGAGACCAAAATGCAACCTTCTGCATCTCTTCCTCCATCCACTGCCGCTTCTTGAACAATTTGCCGACAAATAAATAATCACAATCCATAACTTGTTTTTTAAACCTAAAAATTGGTCTTTTACCTAAAATAAGATGAAGAGCAAATTAACCTCCATTCCCTGACACATTCCTCAGGAATTCTCCAGCCAAAGGTTTATCTAAATCCTTCCGAACCCAAAAGCCCTGTGTTTGCTTCAGGGTCCCATCTGGTTTGCAGTGTGGAGTCCTGTCAGTAGTTGCGAATGCTGAAGAAGCCCACACTGGTTGGCGACTCCTTGACTGTGACAGTAACTAGATTAGCAGTGACATCCGTGACAAACACATGTTCTATCAGACTCCGCGTGGGCTTCCAGTCCTGGTTCTGGACTGCTACTGAGCGATCCTGTCCAGCGTAGTCCTGGTCGGAGTCTGAGCTGCTCTCGTCTTCGCCCGTGCTCATGTCGTTCATTTTGGCTTTTTTGCCGTCCTTGGAGGCCGACCTCTCTTGCTGGCTCTGGACCTCGGTGGAGGACTTCTGCACGCTGCTCTTCTCTAGCCTGCCTTGGACTCTGGGGGTCTGGATTTCAGCCGCCTCTTTGACCTTGTCTGCTCCAGGCTGGTTCTTTCTGGCCTGCAGTCTTCCGGGGGCTGCTGGACTCTTGGGGGGATTATACTCCTGATTTTGTGTGACAGTGGTTTTTCTTGCTGGGTTCGTTGCATTCCTCAGGCCTGACACTGGGGCAGTGCCATTTCCAGGGGCATCGTTGCTTTGCACCAGTTTGTTCTGAAGGTTGAGGGGCTGAAGGCCAGGACCCTGATTGGAGGAGGCATTCTTAGATGGTAAGGAAGCCACTGCTTTAGCATTGGATATCCGCTGCAGTGTTGACACAGGGGCCTGGGGTTTCTTTTGTCCATTGGGGGAACTTAGTGTATGCTGAGTGGTCCCTTGAATTGGGTGTTTGGATGTATTCAGATTCAGCGCTGCTACCCCTTTTGATTTACTAGCAGCTGTTTTCAAATCCAGACTGCTGTTCACACTGGAGATGGACAGTTTACCCTCAGTGACATTCCTGCTCTGGCTGGATTTGTTTAGGGAGGGGGAGGCAGGTTGGACTGACCTGCCAGATCCCACGGAGCTCATGGAGTTTTTAACAGCCCCGCCCTGGGTCAGAGAGCCCCTGTTCTGACCACCCACTGCATCCCTGGTCGAGCCTCGATGAAAACCCATGAATGTGAAGCTTGCTGGGTGAACGGGCTTCTTGATCGCTCCTGGAAGATTGGTATCTTTGGACGTCTTCGGGATTTTGCGAGGGCCCTTGTTCTGTTGAAATTCCTTCACGTCGGGGGGCAGGGGTTTCCTGCTCCGTTTCTTTGGGGGCTCTTGTTTGGCCACGACAATCTGCGCCTTCTTCTGGGGGACGGGATGATGGTCTCGTGTTCTGACGCCCGGGTTTGCCTGCTTGGCGTGGCCCTCGTCGTCATCGTCGTCTGATGAGGATGAAGAGGAGGAGCACGAGGATGAGGAATCAGAGGATGATGAAGATGAGCCAGACGAAGAGCTGCTTGACTTTGGAGCTTCGGGCACGTTTTCCTAAATATAAGAGCAAATATTAGACGGTGTGTACTACGCCACCAACGAATGATACTCTGCTTTGAATTGTACTTACCAGGATTTTCCGTGGTCGTCCCCTCGGCCTTTTCCCTTTCTTGCGCATCAGAAGCTCCTTTTCTTGCTCTCTATATATAAAAAAAACAATTTCAACGAACACTTAATGAGGGGATAATGAGTACTAATGTATAATGCTAAACATTATCTGAAGTTTTTCTGTGTGTCCAATATGATTAAAACTAGGGATGTCCTGATCAAGGCTTTTTAGCCCCTGATCCGATATGTTTTTTATATTACAGTGTGCACTTCAAGTACATTAAAGATATTACAATCAACCCAATTCATGTTTTTTAATAGTCCTTATAGTTAGTGTTTTTACACGATGAAGTATAAAATTACAAACCCTTTGTAATCTTTTTGGTCTCGTCACTGTCTGAGGGGAGTTTCTCCAGTGCAGCCTTTGCCTGAGTTAACTTGAATGTCTTTATTCTGCTAGCCTGTACTTCTTTTGTGCAGATTACATTATGTAATTACTCTTATTGAGCTTATTGTTTGTGGGGCTTTTGTTGCCCCATCATTTGCCCAGAGCAGGGGCAGCCCCACCCACTGTGGGGTTTCACCACGGGCGGGGCTGTCCCTGCTCTCTCACACACTGACACAGAGCTGGAGTAAAGGGAGGCACACAGCGGAGAGAGGTGACGATGGCTGCACCATGCACGGAAGCTTTATGAGTAAAAACAGCTGACGTGAAACAAAAGTTCAGATCAGGTCAATGAAGCTGAATACAGCTGATACTGATCAGTTCTAAAACGCCCACATCAGCACTGATACCGATCACTGAGATTGGATCGGGGCATCCCTGATTGAAACATTAAGTCGACGAGCAAAATCTAAACCAAAAAAGTTAAATAAACATAAGTATATCAGTATAAAGTAACTGAAATATCACAAGGATTATAACTACATCGAACAAGTCTGAAAAATGACAATACTTTGACATAAAGAAATCAACATCACTGCTTCAAATACAATAAGTGTATTAATACTGGGAAACTCTTTGGATTGGACAAGTCGCTTAATCATCACACTACTTAATGTGTGTCTGAGCTGAAGGACAGCGCGCTCTCTGGTGTGGTATCGTCTCGATAAGGACACTCACTTCTTGTTGAATGCAGCCAACAGTCTCGGGTCAAGGATGTTTTCTTGGGGCTCCCAGCTGTTGTGTCTGAAATGAATTGACATGAAGAGTGTCACACATCACGGCGTTAGTCAAAATAAAGTGAAAAAAGCAAGGTTATATGTCCCCTTCAGCCCCAGCAGCAAAACAAATTTACTCAACAGAGTTTGTTCATTCAGAAAGAGAGGACTCTGTTACTCTGACAGCTACGAACAGACTCTGGACAACCTGCATGTTACCTGACTGAAATGATATAATGATCGGCTGATATGAATTACACCACTGTGGTTAAAGTTTGGTCAGATTCAGACACCTTGTGGTCATGAGTTGTCACATTTACTCTATAGATAATCTGTTAAACGTCTACAGACAAAGCGAAACAGCTGAAATGTTACAAATACTCTATCTGTAGGCGGACTCTCCAGATAAAGTCTTAAACTATTTAAGTTTGCTCAGGACAGGAATCTACAGATAGAAATAAAACGATACTATAAAACAAATAAACCAGTACAACATGGCACTATCTTGTCAACTGTGAAACATTTAGAATGACATTTCCTGTAAAAGAATCAGATTTTCACCCAATGTCAGCATACTATCAGATGCTTGTGTCCACAGATCTGCATAATCAGATTCCCCAATCAAATCTTTTAACAATCGTGAGTCATTGAACGCCACACGTGCAGCAAAAGCGATTCGAACCAACGTGAATCATTACTCGACTGAAACTGGCAGTTCGTGTAACACCGCCTGAAAACCAGCCAGCTGTGCAGAGGTGAGACAGTCGGGAGGTTCTTCATTCCTCCCCCAAAAAAGAAGAAAATGAAAGAGAACGAGCTTCACGATCAATTCGCCATGGCTAGAAAGAGGATGCTGGAAGGAAGAGCGGGGAGTTTTTATACATTTTCTGGGGCTGTTAGAGAAAATACTTGGGGGATTTTCTTTTGGGAAAGTTTGGCTATTTTGGTAAAACATCGCCATCATCAGAGGATGCTTTTTACAACCTGCCTCCCACAGCTTCTAAATCAGATTCAGTTCCACAGAACCAAACTGTTCATCTGTCGAAAAAAACCAAAGCACCGGGAAGGAAGAGCATTTCTAGGTCGAGGTGGAGTTCTGACATTTATGGGAAGTCTTAAAAATAACTTCCATGTGATGGTAACAGCAAAAATAACCTCATTTATCAGCTGCACCTGTACATTATCAAACTATCCAGCTCTGTTTAAATGCTGAATTAGCCAAGTGTCTCATTCTGCTTTGTTTTTAGCTGCATTATATATATTTTTTTATCTACATTAAAAAATCAAAACATCTGTTCGCTCCCTTCCTGAGCGTGCAGGGGATGGTACACTGCATTGTGGGTATTTAAATAATTTTTTAAGAGGATCAAAACTTGTCCTAACTGCAAAAGCAAACAGAAAACAGAGCACATTGGGGTTTTTTTTTTTGCCTTGAAGTGATCTGAACTACATGCATGTGTAATGACCTTTCTCCCCATCACTTGTTGTTGAATAGCCCCCCCCTTCTGATCAGCAGACACCAGTGAAATAATCAACCCCCACCCCTTTCTCCACACACACACACACACACACACACAAAGGAGGTGGTTCTAGAGAGCCATGGAGCTGGCAGGCAACAGTGTGCATTGATGGTGGATTACAGCAACAATGTGGAGTGAACAGAAAAGGGCAAGTGACAAGAAATGAAGGCAGAGTGGAGCCTTTAAAAGCAGCAGAGTAAAAAACAGGGAAATTAGATTTAAAACTGTTGTTATGTAAAGAGTCTAACGTTATATAAAGGTAGCTAATAATCCGATATGACTGATTGATTGGTGCTGGGGTTCGCACGCAAAAAAAAAAAAACTTGTTTAAAGTGAGAAATAAAAAGAATGAAAGATAAAAAATGAAACGATGAAACAGAGGGATGGAAGCCAGACACACAGCAGCGATAAGGCATGAAACGGTCTGTCCTTTAGCTTTCCGCTAACTTCCCAAAGTGTGAGGTGTTATGAACAAAAGAAAGCAGATGGAAAAAAGGGCAGAATCGATGGAGCTGGAACATAAAGCAAACGCTGCTGCTGCTGCTGTTGTTGTTGTTGTTGTTGTTGTTTACTCGGTGATTCGACCCAGAAAGCGAGCGGGTTCGGAGTAAAAAGCAACAAGCGACACGCTGTTGTTGTTGTTTTCATTGTTTCGGGGGAGCTGAAGCAGCAGCACTCGTACTCACTTGGACGACCATCCCCTCCACTTCACCAGAAACTCCAACTTTCCCTGAAAGAGAAGCACGAGAGGGAGAGCGCGTTAGTAAGCAGCCGCGAGAGGAACCGGCGGGTAACGGCGAGTAAACGTGTACCGGGAGAGGGGTTGGGTCGGGGGAGAGGGGGGGACGGGGGGGAGGGAGGGCTCGGACCTTTCTCAGGCGTTTGTTTAAAATGCATTCCGCATCAAAAACCTGCTCTCCCACGGCGCTCAGCTCCTCCATGTCTGCCGTCGCCCGAATAAGACTCCTTTATCAAAAGACAAGAGGCGCGTTCAGCTAATCACAGCTGCGCAGGGCCGGAAGCCCCTCCCGCGCTGCCTTCAAAATAAAGCTCTTCTCAGCTGAATGGAATATCAGAAGTAGGGTTATTGGCAGGGTGTGTGCACACATACACAGAATAAGCATAAACAAACAAGCTCCACAAAAGAGATATAAACTACTATTTATTCCAGCATCCTATTGTCTACTGTCAACAAATGTTGTTGTTTATATATAAACAAAACAAAACACACACACATATGTATTTGTGTACTATCCGTTTACCTCGTGTAGCCTACATAATGAAACCTGTACGTAAATATTTTTTTCAGCATCCACAAGCTCAACAAAAGAGACATAAACTACTGTTTATTTCAGCATCCCATTGTCTACTGTCCACAAATGTTATTGTTTATTATATATAAACAAACAAACACATTTGCATATATTTATATACTGTCATATCCATTTACCTACATAAAGAAACCTGCACGTAAATATTTGTTTCAGCATCCTTTGCACTCTGCACCATTGTCTACTGTCTACAAATGTTATTATTATAATATATAACAATAATATCTGTATACAATATTAAAGCCTTCCGACTGTGAAAATGGTCCAAAGTCTTCATCCTGAATTTGTTTAATGAAAAGTTGTTTTTTAAAATACACTGACGACACATTTTTGATGCTAAACATTTTGGTCTGTTGTCTTAAAGAATATGTAAAAGTCAGTTTATTGATATTTATTTTCTCTTGTATTTGTTTACATGCTTGGCCAATAAAGCTTATTGTGCTTCATTAATATTATTAACAAAAGTGATGAATTGATAGATACACGAGTCAGCTCGGTGCTCCAAACCTTTGTTTTCCTCTACTACTAATAATAATATAAAATCTATTTATTCTGATCCGTGGGTCTGCTTTTAACAATCCTCATTTGTGAACAGAAAGGAAGAATTGTAGTTGAGCCAGAGTTAGATTGATGGATTGATCTGTTTATCTGACTGTCCTGTGCCATATGGTGCCCAGCCCATCTGGGGTTACAGCGACAACAAGCAGCCAGGATGCTCACATGAAAAAAGAAATGTCCTCATTAAGGAGCCAACTCAACACTCTACCTCAGTATATCTGCCTACCTCAGGTACCAGTTCTACCAGTTCTCATGGATCTTATTGTATTCCTATTACACTGCGAATTATTCCTGAAAATAAAAAGTAAATTAGAAAGAGAGAATATATTAAAACTTCTCTTGACTAAGGATAAATGCGTTCCCCATCCCATTTAAAGATCTTTTTGGTTAGCCTTTCCTCCAACTGTAATCTGTTGTCCCAGGCCAGATATTAACAATGCACCTTGAACATAATGTAAAACTTATTTCTTATGAATGTTGATATAGCCCAATACATAAAATAGCAGTATTTGGAAGGGAATGTGCTTTAACAGTTTAGTTATTTCTGGCTGTGTTAGCGAGCAAACCAGTTTGTAAGTTGATTCAAATCAATATAATTATGTAGAAACATGCTGTAAATTGTATAATGTAACTATTTATAATGGCTAATACGTTAATTAACTTAACGAGAGGCAGATTTTTAGGAATAGTTTAACGACTGTGTGACATCCATTAGTCAAAGCATATACCACAAAACTTAAAGTAACACAGCCTTATAGAAACGTTGTAATGTTGTATACAGTATATATTTCGATTAAATAGAACAACACACAAATAAAACAAAGGTGTGTTTGATGAACTCCCACAAATATGTCGATTGTAGTCTTATTTTGAAACTGGTAACCGGAAGTGTGGTTCTTCCGTGCGTAACTTGACACACTGCACGAAGAGAGGCGGGCAAATGAGAATGTGGTCCTACATCATGTCCCTCAGCAGCCACCGTCCTCCGACCGAAACATGTTCGCTTGTTCTAAGAGACAGAAAGCTCACACAGTGGTCGCTGATTACTCCTCAGATCAGATCTTAACACATTCAAAGCGGTTAATTCATTAATAATGTGAATAAGAACAGACGGCCATGGCCTTTTATTCAGGGTTACTGACGGTGGAGCAGTTATGACTTCATAAACACAAGTCAGTGTAATTACATGGTATTTAAACTGTACTTTAAACATTGAATTACAACACGCTGGGAAACACACACATAGTAATACACACACACCCTTGTTTACTCACACACTGCATCATTTCAACCAAACTAAATACTACACACGGTAAACAAAAACTGAGATGTGATCAGTTCTTTTATTCCCCAGAAGTGTGCTCTCTGGTTCTTGAGTATGTCCTCAGGTGGGATAAAGAGAGTCATTGTCTGTCAGCCTCAGACTGTAGCATGAAGCTTTATTTCCTGTGTGACGGTCAAAGCGACGTTTGTTTGCTCATTTCTTTTTCTGGAAGAGGTTCTGAACTCCCCGATCTGAAACACAGAAAGAATAAATCCATGATAGTTATTATCGTTCATCAGCTTTAAGCAGAACGGCATCAGAGTGACAGAAACATGTGGTGTGATTGTTTTACCAATTGTCAGTAATTAAAGTATTCCTTTGTGTGTTTTTGATGTAACTACAGTGGAATCAGATAAATAAATGATGACATCAATATCAATATTTAAACCATATTCTTGAACTATAGTTCCTACCCGTACTGCCCATCCCTGCAGGGGACAACTGACAAATACTCAGTCGTTACCTTTTCCTCTGACGCTTGTTCTTGAGCACTTTGTGGGATGTCATCACGATAAAAACTACAACGAGAAACCCTGCCACTGCAGCCAGTCCAGTGAAGACATTTGGCAGAGAATTCACATCTGCAGCTGAAACAAAACAGAAAATACAGAGAGGACACGTTCACAGCTTGGTGCTGGATATGGGACATCTGTAAAGGGCCACAGTGGGATTTTAATACTTCCTTTTTGTCTTTTTTCTTACTCTTCTACTTTTTCCTCTAAAAGTATCTGGATTTTAAAAACTGTAAAACACACAGCAACCAAAGTACTGCCTCTTCTCAGGCACTGAATCACATCAACTAACCACATGATGGCGCTTTGACTACTTTATTCTGTTCAGGAACTACTTCACTGTGTAGACACATTGCTCGCCACAAGAAGAGCCTCTTCACTGTGAACTGCAGCTATCAGTGGAATCAGTGCCTTGCAGCAGGAAACACAACTGTGTGTGTGTGTGAGGACAAATTCCAACAGTGAACATCAGAAAAACTAAACTAAACAAAGAGCCTTAGGAATAAAGTAGCATACAAAGGAAACATGCAAATAAAGTAGAATTACCTAACAATTATAGTTCTGTACTGAAGTAAATGTTCCTCTTCAGGTCAGATATTGCAGCACAATATAAAATCTAAAACTCAACACCTTACAATACACAAATTTATGAGCTGCGTAATCTGAAATTCATGCAATACAATTAAACAAGTTACTACTCATCCTGGTGCTAAGTAAGACATTAGTAATTATTACTGTTAATATTCATACATATTTCTTTGTGACCAATCCAGTTAAAGAAAATGAAATAAAGGGATCAGAGGTAGACAGACTATATCTCATTTTGATTAGAAAACTTAAAGAATGAGTCTGATGATATTCTGCATCTTTCTTATTGTCAGAAAATTCCATTAAAAGACCCAAACCAACACTGAATGTATCTGTAAGCAAGTATTGTGTGTCTATTAAAGCCTGATCTATCTCCTTCCTCTGAGCTTCAGAGCTCCACTGTTGTTCAAAAACTGTTAAAAACACATCAGTGAGCCACACTGGGTCACATGTTCCTTCATTACCATGACACACACTGTAGTTTACTTTGACTCAGTCCCACAGACACCCTCCTGCTGCCATAAATACTCACTACATTTAAGGTTGGGTGTCACTTCGCAGCTGAAAATAGTCCCAAACAAATGCACTATTTCCTCCTGTTTGAGTCATGTTGTTTAAAAACTACAGTGTCCAGCTGTACTGAGCCTTTAAAAGACAAACAACACTTTTATCTCTCAGACTATTTATTTCTTCAGTTGGAGCCAAAGGGCTTTAGTTTGACAGAAAAGTAAAGTTAGAAAATACTGAGAGACGAACCGAGACATTGTGGATTTGGTGTTTTTTCATTATATTTCTCAACAATAAGAAAAATATCCAGTATTTCCAGAATTGTCCTTTAATTATTTAATGTCAGACACTTGGACAGACCTTTAGTTCCTTTCTTAGAATCTTTCCAAACTTACCACGAGCAATGCCAGATCTACTTTCCACTTTTAACCTACAGTAGCTCTATGTCTGATTTGGACATATGTGATGTCGGAAATGATGGATGAATGGCTCAGTAACAAAGGAGCAGGTGCTGGAGCGACACACTTTGGAGGCCACGGGGAGAAAGTCATTAGTCTGATGTAAACTCACCCTGAGTAGCAGCGCTGGTCACCAGCATGCGCCTGGTGGCGTTCAAGTGGCCGTCGTTGACCTCCGGCTGGATGCCCAGGATGTGACACATCAAAGGGTAGATGTTCACCGTCTCAAAGGGCCCCACCTCCAGGTTCTTGTGAAACGATGGACCCACTGCCCTGAAGAAGGCCTTCATGTCCATCTCCTGGTTGTTAAAGCCGTGCTCACCCTTGTTGAACTGAACCGGGAAATACTGCAAGGACACGCAGACGTGGATAAATTAACTTGCGTGACCCAGTTTGTTCCATTCAATTAGACTGTAACTTTTATGAGCCAGTGGTTTTAGCAACATGACCTCATCAACAAGAGAGTTCACACATCCTGGCCTACTCAACTTGAGTCAGCAGAGGGGGGTATTGGCCAAGTGAAAGAGACCTTTCCATACTGTAGAATGAGCCTGTTTTCTCTCTGTGACTATCAAACCATGACAGTGGCTAAATGAGAATTTAAATCCATCTTTAAAATTTCCATTTTCGTAAAATCCAGACATGAATCCCTTTGATAATGTTGTAATATATATTATGTTTGTTACCAACAAAACGTGATAACAAATATCCG